CCTTCATTGTAGTCCCGGCCGAACTGCTCGGCACCGATCCGAACCACTTCGAATCCCCAAGGGAGTCACACCTCCTTGGCCCACATTTCCCAGGGCCCAAGAGGGTTGGTTAGAGGGGAGAGTTTGGGCGGACCTCTTCGTAGAAGAGGAGTGGCGGGTGCTCCCCGTCGACCTCCCCCACAGCAAACTAACGGCAGCGACTGCGGAGTATTCCTCCTAACGAACGCCAAACTGGTGTCGTGGGCAAGCCTCTGAGATATGGAGCGAGGGATATTCCCGAGATCCGTAAAAGGATCGTTGCCGAGCTGATGAATGAGGATTTCTTCGGGGAATTCGACCCGAAGAAGGACGAGACGGATCCCGTTAGGTCGATGCTGTGATTGCAGCATCGGTTCTTTCTGGGTGTTCGTTTTCGTTCTTCTTGTGGGGAGATTACACCTGGCCAGAGAGGAGTTTTTCTCTTTTCCAGGACGAGGGATCGCGTTTTATTTTGTTTTATTTTGTTTTTCTTTTTTGTTATTTATTTTTTGGTATAAGCCCGACCCGCAGGATTTCGGTGGTTATTCCTCCGTCTTCCTGCGTGCTGCTGGGTTTGTATCCTTTTCTTTTTGTTTATCCGATACTTGCGCCCGGCTATAAGCACTTTGGTGCCTTATGCGCATTGGGTTCGTGTACTCGGTTTTCTTTTTCCTTGTCTTCTTTTTCATCTATTTGTTGGTCTCATTTTTGTTCGTTTGGTATATTTGCGGTTTTATTTATTGTTTGTTTGGTTGCATGTTAGCGGAGCATGGTGTTTCTGTTTATTTCATCCCTCGTCCTAATGGCGTTGTTTTTTTTTTCATGCATGTACTTTTGGAAGGATATGTATCTAGGGCTGCTTGTATTTGATGAGTTTTCTTTTCTTTTCTTTCATCTTTTGTTTTTGTGATGTGTAGATACCCAATGTACTTTCAAAGAGGCGTTTATTTTGTGTAATTTTATTCAATTTTGTTCATTTTACATATCAGTTCGAATTGGCCGCTGACCGCAATATTTTCTTTCTTGATCGCTATTCGAAATGCTGTGTTTCTCTTCTGATTGTGCATTTGTGCGAGGACTGAATATTAAATCTCGGGCATCCTGCTGCGCACTGTATACATAATACGGGTCATTCACGGGGAAGGTTGGATAATCCAAACAATCACAAGTATGATAAACAATATCTGAAAGAAGAAATACATCGAATAGCCTACCCATTCATTGGTGGGAGTGAGATAGATAGATATATATATATATATATATAATAACTGAATTAAAGGGTAGCTAGCAACTGATGTAAAGGAACTAACTGCCTCAAAAGGTCATCTGAACGTTAATTAAATCAAATCAATTAGCCATGCTATGTTGTGTGTTATAGCTATAGCTATATAATACATAGCGCGCTCCGCTTGCTGAAGATCACCAAGGAAAAAAAAAAAAAAAAAAAAAACGATAACCCCCCCGGTTAAAAAAATAAAAATAAAAATAAAGGTAAAACCTAGAAAAGTAAAAGGGAGAAGGGGAATTATTTTATTATTATAATTTTTTTTAGAAAAGTAAGAATTGCAAAAGGCATATAAGGAAACTCAAATCTGTTAATTACTAGAAGGAGTGGGACGACTTTTTTTTTTTTTTTTTTTTTTTTTTTTTTTTTTTTTTGCCTTTTTGCGCTGGCTCTCGCCTTGTTCTTCGAAAATAGCTCTCTTCCATTCCATCATCCGTCACCTCCTCCTCCCCCAAAGACTCAAGCTCAAACTAACCAACACAACCGGTAACAGACTCACAATCTCCCCCGCCCCAGCATAACTCGGCTCGATGCGGAAGCCAGCCGCCTCAAACGCTCCAGCGGCAAAAAGCACCGCAAACACGTTATAGAGCACCGCCCACGCGATGTTGAGCTGGATCCGCCGCGTCGCCTGCTGAGATAGGTCGAGGAACGCGAGCAGGCCGTCCAGCGAACCAGAGAGGATACCAACGTCGGCGGCGTCAGCGGCGATGTCGGTTGCGTTTGTCATGCAAATGCCTAGGTCTGCTTGGGTAAGTGCAGGGGCGTCGTTGGTGCCGTCGCCGATGAAGAGGACTTTTCGTTGGGAGGAGGGAGGAGGGCGGAGGCGAGGTAGTCGGAAGGAAGAGAAGAGGGAGCGGGGTCCAAGGGGAGGTGGAGGTGGAGGAGTTACCATCGAGGTCGTCTGCAAGTCGCGGATATATGCTGCTTTGCTATCGGGTTGGCAGAGACTGTGGACGTTGGCCGTGTTGAAGTTGAGGAATGCAGCGACGGCGCGGACGGCAAGGGGGTTGTCTCCTGAGAGCAGGTGGGTGGTTATTCTCTTGCTGTGTAGCTTTTGGAGGACGGCGGCGGCTTCGGGGCGGATGGTGCTGGTGAGTCCGTAGACAGCGAGGAGGGTATCGTTTCGTGCCACGCAGAACGTGGTCAGGGATGCATCGATCAGTTCTTTGACTTTGGGATGGGTTTCGACGCCAAGCCAGGATGGGCTGCCACCTTTCAGTGTTGTGCCTTTCTCGGTAGTTATTTCGACGCCCTTGCCGATGATTATCTTGGAGTCTACTTCGGGGGACGGTGTGTTGTTTGTTTGGCCGTAGTTGCTCGCGACGTATTGTGTGATTGCCAGAGACACAGGATGGCGATTTCCTCTTGTGACCGTCGCTGCCATCCTGCTTATTTCCTGGCAAGTTTGACCGGACTCCTCACAGAAAAGTGTTTCACAAAGGACAGCTAGCTCGCCTGATGTTAAGGTCCCTGTTTTGTCAAAAACAACATCAGTAATTTTACATCCAGCTTCGAGAGCAGCTCCCGCTTTGAACAGGACCCCCTTCTTAGCTCCCACAGTGCTGGCAACTGTTAGAACCATTGGGACTGCCAGAGCTAATGCACAAGGGCAGCTGATAGCGAGGATTGCAATTGCATGTGTAAGGGCGTTGACTGCTGATTCCGTGCTGGCCCAATTCCTGGCGAAGCGGTTGACAAAAGCCCAGATGAGAAATGCAATACACGCAACAGCAAGGATTACAGGTGTGAGGTATGAGGCAGCTAAATCGGCTCTTTCCAATGTTCTTGTTCTTGATGATGCCGCTGTAGAAACGAACCGCTTGACAATGCTGAGGGTATTTTCTGATACCAGTCTCGTTACTCGGTAATTGATCTGGCCGTTGATAATAGTTGATCCAGCGTAGACATATGCTTTCCTAGAACGAACCACCGGTTCGTGTTCTCCAGTGATGTGCGCCTCGTCTATTTCCGCACTGCCGCTAACAACGATACCATCAGTGACAATATTTTCAGAGGCTTTCCCTTGGATAATATCCCCGTAGTGAAGGAGGGAACTATCGATTAATTCGGGTTGGTTGTCACCCAAGCCCAAAAAGGCACTGGCATCGGGATTATTCTTGGGGGAGGCCTTTCTAACAACAAGGGCGGATTTCTGTTGTGATGTGCCCAGTTTGATAGCATTCTGGGCTTTTCTCCTAACCCACGCAGCCATCAGTCTTCCCAATAATATCAAAGTGATTAGCAACGAGCTCGTCTCAAAAATAGGATGGCCCAGGACTGTCTGGGCGGTCGAAAATCGCATCTCCAAAGCAAATGATACCACGGAGTAAATATAGGCGCTCGTAATGGACAGCACCACCAGAACATCCATATCTATTTCCTTCTGGTACATCAACGACCGAAATGCATGTTTATATATCGGGATCGCGAGAAGCTGTACGACGGTTGCAAGCACAAGGGACGAGCAGACGAAGGAGGTCTGTTTCGGGAAAGGGGCGTATTGGGCTACAGGCGCCCATGCAAACACAAGAACTGGGATCGTGAATATTGCAGCCACTATAGTCCGCCCAGTCAGCCAAAGCCAGTGAGATTTTGCAGCAGCTTGTGCAATCTCTTCGGAAGAGCTGTCGGGCGCCAGTTCCGCATGACCTCGTCTGTATGTGTCGGTGGGGGCATTTGTCATATCAAGCATATCCCTAACCCCAATAGTTTGGGGATTATAGAAAGTCTCATACGTCCCATCGCGAAGAGGCACGACGTGACTTACTCCATCTATCCGTTGGAGGATGTCTAGTCCCTTTAAATCGAGATTTCTGATGCGTATCCGCTCACCAGCAACATCCGTGGCTGCAAGCCCTGTTCTAAGGATTGTGCATGTGAAGCCGGTCACCTTCTTAATTCTGGATGTGATCTCTGTTGGATCACTAACAATGCATGAGTCATAGACCAAGTCTGCCCGGTTTAACATAAAACTGGTACGCACTAGACTAACACCGACGTAAGAATTCAAAAGATTCCGCAACTTAGTCTCACATCCTGTACAAGTCATCCCAACCACACCGAGCGAAAGAACGTATAGCTTGTCGACATTGCCCTTCTCAATATCGATTTCAGGAGCCGGCTCACAAGCAGTCGCGGTGACATATATTTTGTTGTCCGTTGAAGGCTTTGAGGAAGTCGTCATGGATTTGTAGACATCTTCGAAACCTTTCTTACATTCGCGGCTCTGCGTGCAGCAAGATTTCCCATCCAAGAACACAAGACGACGAGGTCCTCTGCAGAAGCATCTGCGGACTATATTGCTGATTTTGGAGCTGACCTCCTACAGCTTTGGCGGATCCAGAGAATGTTGAGAAAGGTCTTTCCTCTCCCTTGGGCTCCGTATCTGAAGCATGTTCAGAAGCCATTCTCAGGTGCCTCATACAAGGTGTCTCCGTAGGTTTGCGATTATGTCGAGATGGGAGTTCCAAGTTTTCGGGAAGGGACGACCTGGTTATCACGGAGTTCCCCTTGCACTGTCTTGGAAGAGTAAGACTGTTGTCTCGATATTCTTCACGAGTACAACAATCCTCTGCCTGTGGTGAACCTGCCAGGTCCTCGCTATGTCGGTCGTCCATGGCGCATAATTGCGCGGCATACTCCACAAGGCATTTGTCTGCATGTTCAAGTTAGCATGGATCTATTGATATTTTAACTACCTGTATATAATAGAGATAACATATTTAGTAGCAAATTTTTATATACCTGAACACTGACACTCGCCATCTGCTTTGCAGCACGCATTCTCGTCACTGATGGACGGACAAGGTTGTCCAATTGAATAAGTGGGCCAGGCCGTAGCCTGCCCGGAGCAGCACGAGTCCAACCCATTACCATATTCAGTTATCGGCGAGGATAGACTAGGAGGGCAGATTTTGGATTTGCTACATGTTCCATCCGCGCTGCAGCAAGATGGTTCTTTCTCCTTTCCCTTTGCATTGTGGTCGTTTGCCTTTTCCTTTTCACAGTCGCCAATCACCTCTTGATTTCCGTTGGACACCTCGCAACATAAACATCCAGGGACGGGCGGGGGAAGCTTGTCTGCTCCTCCGCCGTTGCCACACGATTCCGGATCATCGGGTTTCTCGGTGGAGGGAGTCCGTGAGTAGACAGAGGAACGGTCGTCTTGAACTGATTTTCTTTCCGCAGCAGACATAGCTATAGTTGAGCAACGGGTACTCAGGATAAACAGTGGTGGGAGCTTTGACAGTAAAACTCAACAGTTATGGGTTCTTGTTGGGAACGTCTTCATTTATATTTTTTTTCTTGGATAGCTTTGACGCGTCGCAGGAGCCGTCTCACAACAACTCCAGAATGCACATGAACGAAGCTTTGAAGCGCGTAAATAGCTCAACTCTAGAGCTCATAGATCTGCCGCCTTTTATATGAAAACAAACCTGAAAATGCACCTCCAAACTAGTTAGGTTTTTGGTGCAGCAAGCCATGCACGCTTAATCCGGCTGGCCGAAAACGTCCTGGGAAATGAGGGATCTTCGCCGCTCGATGGAGGAAGTCATGGAAAGGGCCAGGAGTCATGGGCTTCATATCCCTTCTCCGCGCATTGGGGGAACGTTGGCTAATAGACACTATGAGGGGTGGGGCAGAACCTCAGCCACATTGGGTTCGCCAAATGTGAGTTATATTGCGGAACATTCTTGCCGCTCGGTGCCACAAAATGACAGAGCAAGAGACGTTGGTTCAACAATATCGGCCTAGACAGCAGTCACAGGTCGCCGTGTCCAAGGCGGTTGACTGATGTGTAGTGCATCCTTGTACGAGGTAGCGGGGTGAGAGCTTCCTGGAAGTTAGTTAACTACTTCGGGAGGCTGACTAAGCCTATAGTTAACTGCTGGCTAGCTTGCTAATTGTCCGAAAAAGCAGATAGGCATCGTCATTGACCCCAGGATTGGCGTGTGTACAAAGATATCTATGACATAACCATCTTTCAAATCTAGAAAAGCTTCGCAATCACGATATATCTAGTTTATATTTCCGGCTGCCGAGTGCGGTAGCTCGCAAATAACAAACACGTCCGTTATCAAATAATGGCCGCGTTCCAGCTGCCGAGAATTAAGCCGTTCCCTCCAACGAGGGAATTGAATAGTGAGGGACGGAAGAGGTGAAAACGAAAATGAAAATGAAATGGAAACGCTGCCCGCGCGTGAAATCAATTCATAAATTGTCCCAAGACCAGCAACTGATGCGTTGGAAAATAATTCTACGCGACAAAAATCCCCCAAACCCACGCCTCTCGCGCTTGTATTTCCCCCCCCCACCGAGAGAAATATATATATATATATATATATATACAGCGAAACTGGGATTGTATCCCAATTTGCCAATTCCTACCGGGAAATGTTGCCTCCATCCGTTCTCCCACTGTGCATTTCTGTTCTACAGCAGCTCACGGTCCATCGCAACGTTCGCGGCAGCTTCTGCGTGTAACAATCATTTTAAGGTGCAGCCCACCCACCCATTGGAACATCAGAAGGAGCATGGGGATTTTTGGTTTTTTTGTGTTGTATATGGGCCTTCTCGCCGTCTCGCCCGTTTTTATGACGTGGGCGCGCGGGGAACCTGGTCTTACGAATGCAAAAAGACGCAGAGTTATTATGTATGCAGATTAAACAGATATGCATTTGATTATATTGTGTCCCATTCGACGGCATGGAAGGAAGATGCTGTTCTGCTCCTGGCGAAGGATGCGTGCGATATGCATGCGCTGTCCTATTTGTGAAAGGAAAGGGAATTGGCATTTCAAAATGTTATATTTCGATTTGTTTGTATCTTGCCGTGCAGATGGGCAGCTGCTGGGAGGTCGTGTAAATTTAGTCGCGTTCACCACCTTTATATATATATATTCGTTTGCGTCTAGTAACCGCCTCAGCCAGCTACAACCGAAGGAGGAATGTCTAAAGAATTAAAGCAGAAGAAGTAAATAGTATTTATCGTCCATTCCCTTTACAACAGTAACTATTAAAATACGACTCTCCCGCTTTTGGTCTTCAATTACCTGAATGGCGCTAACAGGGGAACAAAAGTAGCCTGAACATCCAAACCAGAAAAATAAGCACTGCTATGTGTAGACCATGGCTTTCCAACACTAGCTATTCCTGATCTGTGGAAAGGATTGTAAAGTGCTGTTCAAGTGTGCACCCGAAATAGTTAATAAAAATCCCACAAGATTTCCGGCACTCCGACGGTTTCCACATCGTCAATTCGACACCCGACCCGGCATTGAGGTTGTTCCTTGATCATGTCGTCGTTGCCATTGTCGTCATATTCAAGCTTTTTTCTGGGGAACTTTAACCTGTCTCCGATCTCGTCTTCCAAAATTCGTTTGGGATGGCTATTCCCAGAAGTTCCAGAGTGTCCAGCATGACGAGACCGGTTAAACGCATCATATAATTCATCGTCAATGTCCGAGATGTTATAAGCAACTTCGACCCATTCGACGCCCATGAGCACACTTGAACCTATTGTCATATTCCCAGACCATTCGCCGCCATCACTCCACAGATTTAGAGCAAGCATACTCGGCTTATCGGGAACACGATAATCATTCTCAGCTTGGAGATCGTTATTGAGATACCAACGCGTCATGTTCGGAAACCAGTCAAGACGGTGGGTTGCCCAGCTTGTCCAAGGAACAGGCAACTGAACGATTGTGGCAGCCCCTGGTATTTCCAGGTCAGTTAAGGGATCCCAATCTGGCTGGTTGGCATAGTGGATATGCGTGTGAGGATCGGCTGTTAATATTTCGATGTCGGATTCAATGTTGACTGAGTGATACGTGAAAATCCCAGCTACAGCTCCGGAGGGGGGCGGGCGCAAGCGGAAATTATTAGGATTCAGTTTTGAACGATTGCGACCCGCAGACCACTCATAATATTCGTCTAAATCCTGGTTATAGCCCCCGCCTCGGCCGTCGTTTTCAGCTCCATCCTCATCAGCAGCACGCCCAGCATGAAGACGCATCCGAACGCGAAAAGAGCAGTGAAAGTAATCATGGGAGTATGTTTCGATCTCCGCAGTGGAGGTATGGTTATGTAATCTCTGGGTACGAAGAGCTAGGTAGGTCGTGTCAGTAGCGTTGTTGGTTGTATCTTTGAGGACGAAAACGTTTTCATAATAGTTGCGTATAGGGATTGGGAAAAGCTGCGATCCTTCTCTGCTCCAGTCTTGGATCGCCCAATCGTCTAAGAAGCCCGTTTCTTCAAGGTTCATGAGAGATTTCTCCATCGAATTGGTAGTTCCATTGCGAGCTGGTCTAGCTATCGTGGAGTTTAGTTTCCAAGTTTTCTCCGGAGCAACAGATCGGAAATCATAGAACTTGTAGTTCTGAAAATAGCCTGGCTCCTTGCCTGAAACCACATAGCATTCACACCTTTCTGGCGCACTGTCCAGGTAACCACTTCCATCGTTGGTTGACTCATCTGGGGTCGCTTGTTTCGCCTTGGTTTTAAACCACAGAAACGTAAAACTTGCCAAACACAGGAAATATTTCATAATGGCGTAAAACAAAAGCTATCAATGTCATGATAGGACAAAAAAGGACAAAACCGAAGGGACCCGCTGAGTCGTCTGTGGTAACACGATGTAACTCGCATCAACCCTCGATACAAGTGCATCGTCGTCTTGGGCTTCTCTTGGTAAATATCAGGCTGCTTGAGGGTGCTTCTGAGGCAGGTGTGATGCCGGCAAGAGCGAAATCAAATTAGGAAGCAACTGGATGAGACGACTATACCAGCGACATCACCGCAAGAAGCCACTCTTCTCTTACACATCACTCCAGAGGACCTCGCGTGGGATAGAGAGAATGTAAATTGGCATCACCAGTCATCCAGCCCCTCAAATGATATGTAGATCTTCAATCAGAGCCAGAAGACCTCCAAAACCCCAAACCCTTTGGTTTCGGAGAGAAATAAGACGATTAAAATACAGAATAGAGGTTGTGATTC